CTGATTGGAAAGGGAGCCGCGTCCATGCTCCCTCGGCACTGCCGGTCAGAGGGAGATCTCCCTCTGACCGGAAATTCCGGTATCGGAGGAAAGTATCGGAGCATTTGGACGAGTTTCTGGTTTAGGGTCAGGTTAAAGTTAAAGGAGAGACACCGCAGCTGAAGCGAATCCCGACAATTATGCTGGGATCCGCCCAGCTGCGTGAGTGACAGCTGGCTCTGCCTATCTAGAGGCAGAGCCAGCTGTACCCGCCCCCTCCTCCGTCCGATCCGCCGGTCAGCGCTGGCAGATCGGAGCGGGGAGGGGGGGATCCAGCCCCTCCCCAGTCACAGCAGAGAGCCGTGACAGGACCGAGAGGTGAGCGAACGCCGGTATGTGTTCTCTCACCTCCCGATCTACTGAGCCGACCTGTGACAGTCTCATTGTCACAGGTCGGCTAGAACTATGAGGTGAGTGAAAGCATAGATCTCCTTTTAATGGCTTGTAATGTTTTTTAGAATTGGTGTTTTATGGGATGATACATTTGGTTCTTCAGACAAGATAAATGTGCACCCAAATATCACCGGAGATATGCCATGCCAGTGCCAAATCTGTATGTGAAAAGAAAAATTATCCCGCACAATATTGTGGTGCCAAACAAAAGCAAAGAGCGCCAGTTCTTGAAAGCAACGCACTGCATTGAATAGTACGACACAGATCTGCTTCCAGTTTGAGTCACCCAACAGAGGATAACTCAACGGGCAGATTCCCCTCCAAACACAAGGCCAATACAATGAAATTCATATGGCCGAGCGCCACAAGAAAAGTTTTAAGAAGTGCAGAGAGAACAGAAGTGGGAGGATTTAATTATCATCTGTTCCTTTTTTATGTCTCTGTGAGTCAGTGTTCCTCCCCAGTGCACTGATGCAGCACTGACTGCTTGTGTGACACCCGCGATCCTCGGTTTCTGCAGGAAACAGGTGTCCTTTTGTGATGTCACCGTAAAATGTCAAATGATTTCCATCTCGCATTGAGAGGGATTCGGCTTTGTGGAACATCTGGGATGTCAAAGGAAGGAAGGTTTATTAAATCTGAGAATCTGCGCCAACTTTCAAGATACCCGCAGAATACTGAGATTTGTCATCGCTAACCCGACGTGGTGTACATCTAAAGTGGCCACAGCACAACAGTGCCATACACACAGAGAGGAAATGACAGAGGTGGAGATATCGGGGTAAGAGGTGTGTGGGCACGTTTCCTCCACAGCATGTCAAAGCTCTGCAAATCTGAATCGGGGAAAACCAGGAACCATGAATGGTGATTTAATGTTGGCCATGCATGATACATTGGTGGGGACGGCACATACACAGCACCCCTAACTCTTATATTACAGCCAGACGGTAACCAACCAATGCCAAATTATCCACGATGAATGGATGGGCTGCGTCCTCATGAATATGAAGGGTCTCGGTGATGTCACTGGTCTCTAGTGATGGGATAGGCTGTGTTCTCATGAATATGAAGGTCTCGGTGATGTCACTGGTCTCTAGTGATGGGATAGGCTGCGTCCTCATGAATATGAAGGGTCTTGGTGATGTCACTGGTCTCTAGTAATGGGATAGACTGCGTTATCATGAATATGAAGGGTCTAGGTGATGTCACTGGTCTCTAGTGATGGGATAGGCTGCGTTCTCATGAATATGAAGGGTCTCAGTGATGTCACTGGTCTCTAGTGATGGGATAGACTGCGTTATCATGAATATGAAGGGTCTCGGTGATGTCACTGGTCTCTAGTGATGGGATAGGCTGCGTTCTCATGAATATGAAGGGTCTTGGTGATGTTCCTGGTCTCTAGTGATGGGATAGGCTGCGTTCTCATGAATATGAAGGGACTTGGTGATGTTCCTGGTCTCTAGTGATGGGATAGGCTGCGTTCTCATGAATATGAAGGGTCTCGGTGATGTCACTGGTCTCTAGTGATGGGATAGGCTGCGTTCTCATGAATATGAAGGGTCTCAGTGATGTCGCCGGTCTGTAGTGATGGGATAAGCTGCGTTCTCATGAATATGAAGGGTCTCAGTGATGTCACTGGTCTCTAGTGATGGGATAGGCAGCGTTCTCATGAATATGAAGGGTCTCAGTGATGTCACTGGTCTCTAGTGATGGGATAGGGTGCGTTCTCATGAATATGAAGGGTCTCGGTGATGTCACTGGTCTCTAGTGATGGGATAGGGTGCGTTCTCATAAATATGAAGGGTCTCGGTGATGTCACTGGTCTCTAGTGATGGGATAGGCTGCGTTCTCATGAATATGAAGGGTCCTAGTGATGTCACTGGTCTCTAGTGATTGGATACACAGCGTTCCATGAATACGATGCGTCTTGTGATGTCACAGGTTGCAAATTTAAAGCACTTTGTAAAGAATCTCCTGTACAATGTAAAAGTTGGACACGTTTTGGAAACCTTGTCACACTGAACTGTTAGAATCACATTTGTATTCTCTGCTGTTGAAGAGAGAATCTTTCATCTCGGCACATGAAGACAGTCCCGTAGGGAAGTGCCATTTTTTTTATTCCGGCGAGGTCTGCTCTGCGCCCGCACCGGTTTCTCACTTCCTGGGACTATGTAAGCGGAAAAAAGGTTACAGTCATTTTTTTTGCCGTCCTTGGCGGAGGTTCCCGCGAGCCGAGGCTAATGGAGATGGCATGGGTCGCAAATCGTATTCCGTGCTCTACCTCCGCAGGAAAAGGTCATATTTGCATTTGGGGAGCTCGGACTGGAGCTCGCACTGTACACACATCATCATTCATTACCGCATGACACAAAACTCAAATACTCGTTTCTTATTTGGCCCGACGGGTGAGGTGAGCAGAGCCTTGTCTGCGCTAATTTGATTATCGGTTAAGGCTTTTCCCCCTAGTTCTCCTTAGGGTAACGGGAGGACACAAACTAGCGTCCTCCCGTCACCCTAGGCTCAGTATACCGCGAACTGTAGCTCGGGGTATACTGAGACGCTGAAGCGGATCCCGACAATTGTGCCGGGATCCGCCCAGCTGCGTGACTGAGCAGAGCCAGCTGTACCCGCCCCCTCCCCTGTCCGTTCCGCCAGTCAGCACCATGGTGGATCGGGGAGGGGTGGGAATCCCTGCAGGGAGCAGTGAGTGACAGTCACCGCTCTCTGCAGGGACAGGATTGAGAAGTGAGCGAGCGAGGGGGAATCCAGCCCCTCCCCTGTCACGGCAGAGAGCCGTGACAGGATTGAGGAGTGAGCGGCCGCCGGTATGTGTTCGCTCACCTCCCGATCTACTGAGCCGACCTGTGTCAGTCTCATTGTCACAGGTCGGCTAGAACTATGAGGTGAGTGAAAAGCACTCACCTCATAGTTCTCCTTTAAGCCTCCAATAAAACTCCCCCTTTTCCTGACTTTCCCTGCGAGTTTCTTCGGTTGCGGCTAATTCACGATAAAATTATAGACCTGGAGGCTGTAATTCCGTCAAACAAAGGCAATTAGTCCTTTCTGTACTGCTGAGTCAGCATTCACCATTATTGCCGGCTCCGTACAATCATTGTCAGGAACACGTCGGTGTATCTAAGGTTATTCTAAATGCTGGCAAAGCGCAGGACTGCAGACGGGACAATATTCGATGAAGACCCCCCCCCACTATGGAATGTCGTTTGCTGCTCTTTAAAGGGGCACTCCATGGAAAACTTAAAGCTTAACACCAGGAGCAGAAACTTTAAATCTATTCCACAAAGAATACAAACCCACTTTGTGTGCCCCAAATGCCTTTGCAAACCCAGACATTGCCTTAAAAAAATGGATCAGTGACATCCTCACTGTGCTGTACATAGCCTGTGTAAAGGGCAGAGCTGTGGGAGGGACCCGGCAGGCCCCACCCACTATAGGAGGGGGCAGGTACAAGACCAGTCACCCTGTCCAAGGAGAGAGAGCAGCAGTGATTGGTCTTTATTACAGGAAGGGGAGGAGACAAGACCAGTAACCCTGCACAAGGAGAGAGAGCAGTGGGTGGTCTTTATTATATGAGGGGGCGGAGACAAGACCAGTCACCCTGCACAAGGAGAGAGAGCAGAGAGAGAGCGGCCTTTATTACAAGAGGGGGTGGAAAGCAGACCCGTCACCCTGCACAAGGAGAGAGCAGCAGTGACTGGTCTTTATTACAGGAGGGGGCGGAGACAAGACCAGTCACCCTGCACAAGGAGGGAGAGCAGCAGTGACTGGTCTTTATTACAGGAAGCTCCAAGTCTCACACGGGAGGACAATATTTGCTTCTCCTGGAGTTCAGCTTTAAGCCATTGACGCTCTCCTGAATGCTCCGCTTTAACGTGCACGTGGACTCCCATGTGGCTACAGCACTGAGCAGGGTACCAGCGCTACAGGGAATTCCCTATAGGCCAGGAGTAGGCAACCTCGGTCCTGCAGTGAAATGACAAATGCCATCATACCTCTGCCTCTGGGAGTCATGTCTGTGGCTGTTAGTCTTGCAGTGCCTCCTGGGACTTGCCGGAGTGCCGAGGTCGCCCACCCCTGCTGTAGGCCATTTAGCGTTGTCCTCCATGCAGGAGGAAGTCACTTGCAGGATCACCGGATATCTAAACATATCTGCTTAGAGTTAATATTGCAGAGTGCCGTAGTCTGTATCTGGGCTCCCGGGTATGATGGTACTTTAACCTTTCCTCCGGTGCTCCTGGAAATCTGCCGGCCAGGTATTCCCAACTCCACCCACAGGGAGGAAGGGACATTGCACAGAGTCATGTGACAGGAGGCTGCAGTGGCTACCCAAAAAGAGTGGGCGTTGGAGTCTGTGCATGGTGGGAGACCACATTGTCCCGGCTGGATTCCGATCACTATGTGATATTGCAGCGTCTTTGGTTATAATGAGCGCGGTCAGAATACTCGGACCGTCTTATAGCGCTGGCATTGTATGAAGTCCTGTGATTGTTCCGCACAATGAATATACATTCGTCTCATAGTGATCACAATGTTATGTATTTGTTTTTTAGGCGACCATCAACAAAATTACAATCACCTCGTGCTCAACAACTCGGCCCAGACGCCGACAAATGGTAAGGTGCATTCTGGGAAACTTTCTTAGAAATAGCCCAACACAATCATCTATCATCCATCCATCATCCATCTATCATCCATCAATCATCCATCTATCATCCATCATCCATCATCCATCTATCATCCATCATCCATCCATCATCATCTATCATCCATCTTTCATCCATCATCCATCTATCATCCATCATCCATCTATCCATCCATCATCCATCCATCATCCATCCATCATCATCTATCATCCATCTTTCATCCATCATCCATCCATCATCTATCATCCATCCGTCATCCATCCATCATCCATCCATCCGTCATCCATCCATCATCATCTATCATCCATTCATCATCCATCCATCATCATCTATCATCCATTCATCATCCATCTGTCATCCATCAATCACCCATCCATTATCCATCCATCATCCATCCATTCATCTATCATCCATACATCAATCTTCCATCCATCTGTCATCCATCCATCAACAATCCATTCATCATCCATACATCTGTCATCCATCCATCATCATCCATTCATCATCATCCATCCATCATCCATATATCTGTCTTCCATCCATCAACAATCCATCCATTATCCATCCATCATCCATCATCCATCCATCTGTTATCCATCCATCAACAATCCATCCATCATCCATCTATCCATCCATCTGTCATCCATCATCATCCATCTATCCATCCATCCATCATCTATCCATCCATCCATCCATCTATCCATCCATCCATCTATCCATCCATTCATCATCCATCCATCTATCATTCATCCATCCATCTATCATTCATCCATCCATCATCCATGATCCATCCATTCATCATCCATTCATCCGTCATCCATCAACAATCCATCCATCATCCATGATCCATCCATTCATCATCCATCCATCCATCCATCAACAATCCATCCATCATCCATTCATTCATTCATCCATCTTCCATTCATCATCCATCCATCCATCCGTCATCAATCCGTCATCAATCCGTCATCAATCCGTCATCCATCCATCCGCCATCCATCCATCATCTCTAATCATGAAAGATATTATACACGGGAATAATTTTAAATGTGTGAATATATGTATTTCCTGGGCTTATAAAGCTGCGACCTATAGGGCGGCGATGTACAAATTACAGGCTGTAAAACCATTCGTATCTTCACTCTCCCCCATGAGGGCTTATTATCTAAAGATTTGAATCCAGAACCCAGAGCTGCAAGGCGAAGGTTCTAACCGCTGAGCCGCTGTGATTTTTTAGGGCTCACTCACACGGGTGTGCACGTCAGTAGACATGTAAACTGCGGAAAAATTTGGTTCGGTGTCGGCCGAAATCCACATTTTCTGTTGTTTCGGATGAGTTTACGAATATTCATCGTGAATACCACAGGAAACCAGATACGGATATTAAAGGAGAACTATGGGGTCAGGGCTTTTCCCTTAGGGTAACGGAAGGACACAAACTAGCGTCCTCCCGTCACCCAAAGCTCAGTATATAGGGAGCTACAGCTCGCCGTATACTGAGACGCCGCAGCCGGAGCGGATCCTGACAATTATGTCTGGATCCGCCCAGCTGCGTGAGTGACAGCTGGCTCTGCCTATCTAGAGCCAGCTGTACCCGCCCCCTCCCCCGTCCTTTCCGCCAGCCAGCTCTGGCGGATCGGAGCGGGGAGGGGGGAATCCAGCCACTCCCCTGTCACGGCAGAGAGCCGTGACAGGATCGAGAAATGAGCAAACGCCGCTATGTGTTCTCTCACCTCCCGATCTACTGAAAAGCACCCCCCTCGTAGTTCTCCTTTAACCATAAAGCTGAATCTCCTAGACCCGAATGGCATGCGGGATCCGAATTTCCGAAATGCATTGGGGAGCTCCCAAATGCCATTGGGGTCTGGGAGCCATATACCTACATTACTGAAGCTGAGGCTCCCAGACCCCAATGGCATCCGGGAGCTCCCCAATGCAATTCGGAAATTCGGATCCCGGGTGCCATTGGGGTCTGAGAGCCTCAGCTTTAGTATTATATGTATATACTGTATGTGGCTCCCATGTCGCCGTAACGGAAATTGGTGTTCAGACCCATTGGGAGGCATTAAACGGAAAACCACATCTGACTGGCCAGAAAAGTCACATGTCCCATTCAGTCTCCTTATTTGAACGAAATTCGGACGGGATCCAAAATTCGGAAACGGAAATTCGGATCCGGACACATTCGGACGCATCGGGATTCAGAAATTCGGATGTGTGATTTGGAAGTAAACGAATCGCACATGTCTACACATCAGTACAGCGTCCACGCCCGTGCAGAGATCCAATCCCGGGAGGGGCAGGTGCTGCGTGTAATTGAGCGCACATTCCTGTGGGAGGACGCGGCTGCGGCTGGACATGGTTACACTGAGACCCGAATGTGCGCATCCTTGCGGGTCCGGGGTGCCTGCACTTGGACGCACACTGTCTGCGCTCAGGTGGGGCACCTGGAAAAGTGTCGCCATGTCAGACAACGGCTGATCCTTCCCCCATAAAGGGAAAATCCATTCCAGTAGGGAGGCTCCGATACCATTTATTCCGGGCCGAGTACGATTACCGATACTTATCCTCAAGTACTCACCGATACCAATTACCGATACCTTGTTTTCTTTGTGGTGTCATGTGACAGTTTTTCTAAAACAATACAGACTAATGATTTTAGGACGGTGGTAGAGTGCCAGGGCCCCGGTCGCCGCTGCACAGCGCTGAGACCCTGGTAGTTCTGATACCGACTCCAAGCTGTAGAGGGACTACAAATTCCAGCATTGCATTATACAGCAATGCAGAAAACTAGCAGCTATAGAGGACTACAAACCCCATTAATCTATCCTTGAGCTCCAGTCCAGTGACTTTGCCTAGGCTGAGATGACATCATCAGTCTGCTGCAGGAAGCATTTCCTCAGTCTCCCCTCCCCCAGTGATCAGTCTGCTGCAGGAGGAAGCATTTCCTCAGTCTCCCCTCCCCCAGTGATCAGTCTGCTGCAGGCAGGAGGAAGCATTTCCTCAGTCTTCCCATATATATGATGACGGGTCCTCTGCATGCAGCGTGTCTCAGATGAGGGTACAGTCACTCTACAGCCCCCTCTTTGTGTACTTCTGTTGATCCAGAGGAAGGCAAAGCCAAAACTTCTCCCGCTCCTTCCAGAACCTCTCCCACCTGCCGCCGTCCTACGAATCCGCCACGAAGACCAATCCAAGTAAATATTCCTCTCTGAAGCGTTTAAGTGGGTGCCGTTCATTTCACCCCCCGCCCATGGCTCCGTGTACGGTGGCCTTGTGGGAAATCCGGGCCTGGTCACATGACATCGCTGCCCTTTCATTGTACACCTCCACCCGTGGCCAGGCGTTCATTGGTAGATTCCGCGTACCCGCCACGTTTCGCCATCTCTGTCCTCCTTCCTCTCGGCGTCTGGGAGATTAGGTGCCGGGGTCAGACGGGTGAATGCGCAGAAACCATATCGGGTGCCCTCCAACTCTGCGGGCTAACTAACATGGCCAAACACACACAATTAAATCATGGTTGTGTCACCACACAGGAAGTGAGGGAGACTCTACCCAAAAGGTACAAATTCACGATTAAAACATGTTTTTTGTGATCACACCGGAAGTTAGGGAGGATTTCTCCTCTCCAAAGGGGATGCAGATACAGTTAAAATGTGGTTATATCACTGCACAGGAAGTGAGGGAAAATCTCCCTAAAAGGGGGAACAGATATGTTAATACATGGATGTGCCACCACACAGGAAGTGATGGAGAATCTACTGAAAGCGGACACCGTTTCCGATTAGAACATGGTTGTGTCACCACACAGGAAGTGATGGAGAATCTACTGAAAGCGGACACCGTTTCCGATTAGAACACGGTTGTGTCACCACACAGGAAGTGAGCTGCATACAAATAAAAAAAAGTGCAAAGAACTACATTCACCAGTCATTTTAATATTTGCATAACTCCTCCCAAGACCCAGCCCACTGCTTGCATCAGGACTGAGGCTTCTTGAGAGGAGTATGGAGGCAGGGCGCTGTGATGTTTTCAGGAAGCTATGTACAGCACCCTGCTGGCCCCTCCCACCAGCCGCGATCTGCCACCATTGCATAGAGAATCTGATTATGTCACTGGGCCTAAGATAAGGTGTGTAACGGAAAGGTGGGAGGGAGGAGCCAGGGAAGGCGAGTTAAGTTTCTCTGTGTTCTGAAGAATGAATTGCGCTTCCCTGGACATGAAGCCATCACGGACTCTGCGCTGCTTAAGCATAAACACAAGACAAATCTCTGCGTTCGCTGTGACACGCCCCATCCGCGGAGAGCTCGGCGCCGCTCAGGAACAGCGGAATTTATCAATGTCAGCGCGCGAGACGCCGATAACCGCCATTGCATATTTATGAGAGGATGCACAGACGGCACCGCGCTTCATCTCCATGACGACCGTTAGGAGCCCCGGCATCGGGAATGGGGCTGACTAATCATCCAATCCTGAGGAGAAAAATATTATATAATTAG